AGTGTTCAGAAAGGACAGGGCGCACACAGTCTGCCTGCACATGCAGTAAACAAATCCTGCAAAGACACCACAGAGAATTCCTGGGCGCGCTGTGTTTTCCCAGACACGCTACAGGAATCGCAACCTGGTACGAGTGAGATTTTGCAGGCAGATGTCACCTAACCAAAGTCTTTACCTCGCTGCACGCATTTCTCACGCTCTCTTAAAAACTATCAACAAGTATAAAACCATCCAACCCACCCGCCACGCAGACCAGCAGCATTTCACTCACTATGTGCTGAGCCTGGGCAGCTGCCTGGGGTGAGGAGAGCAGCCCATTCCGGAGCGGCGCCATCCGGATGGGCTGCAGGATGCCGCGCTGGAAGCAGCTCGTACCTGTGACCCAGCCCAGAGACCTGGCGCAGCAGCAGGAGGAGGGCCCAGGGCTCCGCACGGACAGCGCAGAGCCCGGCTGTGCACAGGACTCAAATGCTGTGAGGCAAAACTTCTCTCTGCTGCCCTGCTACTGTCTGTTAGGTTTCACTCTTTCACTGAAGCAGGCTGCCTAGTTCCTGCGTTCCTTCTGTTGCACCAAAGGCAGTAAGAGATAAGTGTATAACGTAACTAACAGTTCTGCTATTTCAAAAACGCTACCTGCACACATGCTGTATGCTGCACAGAGCTCAAACACTGTGGTTAATGCTCCACGGAAGGGGAGGAAAACTCTCCTCTAAGTTTTTCTCAGCATCTGGTCTGGCACATCTCAGTCTAGCTCTCTTATCATCCAGTCTGATCTCATCCTCCCTTCCCCACTTTTTATTTAGTCTGCTAAATTTTTACCGTAAAATATGTGACTTACTCATTTAAGCCAATGCTAAAGAGTTCCCTTTTAGTTTCATTAGAGAGGACTAGGCATTTATGAGAGAAGAGATCAGGTTGGTCCATCCCTTGTAGGCAAGGCTGAAGCATTCTGGACTGCGGTACAAGGCAAGGCAATAACATGTTATTTTATACTGCAGCTGAAGAGCACGCCAGGCAGCTCCCAGCAGCCAAGGGACACTCTTGGTCCACGTTCGGCGTCCAGAGAAGACAGTAATGAGGATGAAGGACTGTAGAATTAGAGCCACATGCTGAAGCTGCTTGCTTATGCTTTATGTGTATTCTTTTTTGCTTCGCTCACTCCACTAGACACCCTGCATCAGCTTGGGGACAAGATACCTTCCTTGCACAGAGCAGGTCCAGCACCTTTGGTCCATCTATCCGTCCCAACCTCCTGCCTCCTCCTTGCCCATAGTCAAACTCCGTGGAAAGAGGCTGTAGGAACAGACCTGTGAGTCACACCATGTCTCTTCTCCAGGCCCAGGACAAGAGATCCTGAGCGGACCCTTCCGTCCCCGTGAGGGGCGAGGAGGGGTGCTGCGCCTTGAGCACGAGGCCGCGCTCGCTTTGGAGCGCGGGGCGATGCACTTCCGTGCACGCGCTCATCTCGTTACGGCTGCTTTGTGATTCTGCCTCCTTGCCCTGCTGCTTTAAATGCAAGGCCGCAAGAGGCGGCACCTGATGGCCCAAGTGAGAGGGAGCTGCTTGGCCAGGGAGTCGCTGAGGTGCCAGCAGTCACCCCAAGACAAGAGCCCAAGTGTGGTACACGCGTGGCGATCCCACAGGAAGGGCCATGCCGGTCCATGAGAAACACTTGGCTCCTACCCTGCCATCCCTTTAGCTTATCAGTCCTCTGGCTTCACAGAGGCCTCTCGAGCAGTTCTCCTCAAATCGAACCACCCGGAGGGGGCACCGGTAGCAAAGAGCCATCGGAAAGGGCCGTTCCATCCCGTCCCAGCAGAGACCTCCCACAGCGAGCCGGCACAGCCGGGAGCAGGGCACGGGAGCGCAGCCGCTGCAGACATCGAAAGCCACCGCAGCAACTTCCTGACCTCACCCCGGCCCTGGCACAGCTCATCGCACTGACTACCCCTGTCTAAACTGAGCTCATGATGCGGCAGCAACATGGACCACCTGGATTGCCTAGCGGCTTTCACAAGAGTAGGCTACCCAGTACTGAAGACAGAATATTTACTTTAAAGGTATTGTATGAACACTGACAGCCTGCATCTCCATTAAAACTAGGTAGTTTCCACTGCAAAACAACGCACACACCAGCCAAGACACAAGCAGCTTTACCACGCGGCAGCTACGTGAACTCCCGGCCTTCCTTCTGCATCTGCAGCAAGGCAGGAACATCTACATGGGCTGATATTTGTACATGACAGCCAACAAACACTGCTGTTCTTCTACAACTTGGCAGGTTCTCTGTAGTGCAGACACAGTCGGATCGCATATTTAGCCTTGACACCTTTAGTCTAGCACTAAGGAAGCAGGCCAACAAACTTGAAAAAGGAGTTTGTAGTTCTGCAATTTATGGTCTGCAGGGGAGAGCTCCTCTGGCATCTTTAGGTTCTTCAAAGAAGAATGAACTTGTAGTGCTACGCCTGAAGGGCAATAAGGTCTTGCACTGATCTGGTAACTGACTGTCTAGAGTTTAGATTTACTACCTATTTTTCCTGAAAGGTGATCGTAAGACGTAGATTTTAAGTTTGCTGTCAAATTCAGATCAGTAAATTATACTTAAGGTTAACTAAATCCTTTTAGTGAAACCTTGCCCTGCAACCCAGCTCCAGTTTACTCGCATGCACAAAATCTTTTATATAAAGATTCAGGAATTCATTACAATTTATCTTCTCTCTGTACTTTTAATAATTATTGCAGCTGGTCTTTTGCCCCATCTCTCTCCTCAAAATTGGTTGCGAGGTGTTCTGATGAGCTGCACAGATGCACTTATGAGCACATGGTCAAGCCTTACGCTATTCACCTGGACGCTCTAAAGGACCCGTCAGCTAAACCCAGGCTGGACCAGCAGCACGGCCGGAGCACTGAGCGCTGCGTCTACATTACCCTTACCTTAGTGCAGGAGATGTGACACGAGCAGCACAGGCTGCACCAGGGATCCTCACCTCAAGGCAGACCCAGAGTCTGCACAGGCCAGCACAGTCCATGCCAAAACCTGCTCTGCTTCATCATCACGGAGAAGTGACAGACAACCGAGCTGCGCCGTGTCTTCTCTTTAACCGCAGTTCAAACGCTCTTAGCCCGGCAGACGCCTGCAGGACAAGCCCGCACTGCAGCACCTTGAAGCCCAGAGCTTCCCGCAAGGGCAGTGGGCACTCGTACAAAAGAACATTTCTACCTTCTACACCAATTCTCTGTACAGTTGGAGGTAAAACTATTACCTCATTACAGTCACACACCAAACTCCCTTCTGGTGGAATTCACATCAGCACTACTGCAACTTTATAACATTCTCTTTATAAAAATGTCTGCAAAGGAGGCCAAGAAAAACAGCTTTTTGTTCAGAGGAAGCTCTGTGGTCAAGATGATGTCATCAGAAAGCGCCAAATTAATTTCCTGTGGTTACATCCTATAGGAAATCCAAGTAGCTCAGCTTTCTTGCTAACCCAAGTAGTCATTTGTTGTCAATAACTGTTAATTATGTACCCAGATGTGTCATAAACTGAGAACCATCACAATTAAAACTTCGTTTTCTGTATTTGTCCCAGGTTAACTGCTGGGTTGCGCTTAGATCAAAGCCTGCCGGCAGTGGAGGCCCCGGACTGGCTGCCCCGCTCAGCCAGGTGCCTGGGCAGGCCGGGTCCTTCTCTCCGAACGCTCCTGCCATCCCCTCTTTGACCCCTACCACAAGGGCAGGGGGAAATCTGCTGCTTGGAGAAGTCTCGGGGAGGAGGAGCAGTTACATAGATTAAGATTCTTAGCAAGAACAGGGACTCCTAATCAACAAGGCTATAAAATATGATGGGTAACAGCTTCTCTGACTAACCTGAACGGAAACGGGGAAATCGGGAGTGATTCAGAAGTTTTTCCAGCTGGTAAAATAATCACAAAATTGTTTTGCGGGTCCCTTCCCCAGTCACAGTCCCTCTATAACCTACTGAAAGATGCATTTCTCAATGGCTTACTTGATACCTAAATCATAAACCAGCACTTTAGTAAAGCAGTTAACTACTGCAGATGGATCTTTCGAGCAGTCATTGGTAAGAAACTCATTTGCCCATTTTTTGAGTCTCACAGAAACTTCCTTTGCATTTACACGTACTCAAACCTGCACTGTTCCCCCTTGCTCATCTGTCAGACAACCCACAAGCCCTCCCTTTCCCCACTCGGACTAGAGGGGAACCCACTAGAGAGCAACTTGCACTAAAATTATGATTCTGTCCTTAGAGTGAACTTGCAGCAGGCTCTCTTGGGTCACGCTCCTGCGTCCACGCAGCGTGCTTCTCCACACTGGCAGAGAGCCCGGCATAACACTTCAGAAGCTGACCAGTAAACAGCCAAGGCAAAGCACATCCAGACCAAACCATTCTACACTTGACAAAACCGTGTATTTAGGCTTGCATGGATTCTTTCCCTCTTCACTACTTTTTAAACACAGCTTATTTTATGAAGACTGTGAATGTTTGGGGCAGGAACTTAGCTCATTACTGGCCTGGAAAAGACACAATATATGACATCCCCTAATACAGTTCCAATTATTATCATCTACATCACAGGAAAAACTGGAGCTGATGACAGTCATGGATCAACCACATAAGATGTCACATCTACATGTACTCAGCAAGAGCTTCTGCCCTGAGATCCCAGAGTCTATGTGAGGTAGACAAAACGGACAGGAAGGGAAGCAGAGACACAGAGAGGTAGAACTTGCTCAAACAAAATCAGAGGTAGGCTGAGCCCAGAATATAAACCAAGTATCCTGTCAATCATACAAAAATAACTGACTGTATCTATTGATGCGTATGACTTCCACAACAGAAAGCAACTGAAAGGTTGGGAAGACAGGTCACATTGCTTCCAAAAATTCAGAATAGCAACAGGACAGACAGACAGACAAGGGCCCCGATGTTCACATCTGGCATTTACTCCCAATCCAGTCTATTTGTTAAGATTCCTACCTCTCTGTCTTTGAGTTTCATGGCGAGCACCAGTTGATGTCTGTGGTTAGTAAGGGCCTCCCGGTAGTTTCCTTTGGAGAAGAATGCAGAGCCCAGATTTCCATGAGCTCGTCATTCGCCCGTCTGGTCACCTGAGTTGCATGCAAACAAAATAAAGGTTAGAGAACATAGGGGTTGCTGGAGGTGTCCAGCAGAAAGACTGGAACATGATACTCATGAGTTAGAGGACCCCGCTAAAGCTTAGCTCATCTGCTGATCACCCACCTCACACACAACAGATAAACAGTGCTGCACAAGCCTGTAGTTTGCGCATTTTGCAAATTCTACCTTTGCTTTAGCAGCTTGTGAAACGACACAGAAATCTGAGTACTACAGAATGATGTTGCCCTTCATTTATGCTACTGACACAACTATTAATTCATTCCATCTGTATGGAGCCAGCACTTAAGCGAGTGAAAGGAGAACTCTACCTAAAGACTTGGCTACGTCCAGGTCCTGCTGCATGTATCCAGTACTTTTCTCTGTATTCCCCAGGGACCAGTAAGCGCTGCTCAGCGCAGAGAACACTGATCCCCTTAGCTTCAGGCTGCAAGTGCCGATCTTCAGGGCAGCTTCTAGCACAACCACAGATGCACCGTGATGACCTGCAGTCAGAAGTTCCTGGCCTATCACAGACACCACAACGAAGGGGCTCTTGTCCAGCTTCATCTTCTGCAGCTGTTGATAGGTTGGCTCCAGGGATTCTACAATACAAGAAAAGAAGGCAGAGTTACTCAACTAAGCTATTTACATCTATAAATTAGCCAAACACTTCATCTTCGTTTTTGGTAACCAGATGATACACATGAGTTAAGAGTCAAGACAGCTTACATCAAACCAATGTTTACTATGAGAGCTTAGAGCTCAAAAACATCCTCCAATATGCAGCACGAGCGCATCAGGGCAGGACAGATAATAAGGAAGCTGATGTTTTGCATGTAGAAAGTACTTCAGGAAGACAACACAAAAATACAGAGCAATCCTCTGCTGAGCTCTGCAGATTGACCTAATGAGTAAGGGTAGAGAAAACACCTGCAGGGTTTTGCAGGGAATTGAGAATGTGCCATCACCAGTGCATGAGATCACTGCCTTCTCTGCTCCTGTAGCACTAGCATTTGGCTGAACGTCTTTGAAGCACCTGTGCTGGTTCAGGTATCAGAGTCCACAATCTGCACCAAGACAGAAGAGCTACAGGAAAGAACCTCTTCAAACCACAGCCCTGTCTGCTCTCATAAACAGGGTAGGAGTCCTGTGAAGCAGCGAAACTGGCCCTGCTGGACTAAACTGGTCTAATTATTTTATCATTCAGATTAATGCTTGGCTGCACATTTCAATGAACACGTCAGTATTCCAGGACTCCAGGATTTGCTGCATGAAACCAACCATGCTGGCTTAAAATGTAATTTTCAACATTTACTAGGTCACTTGATTCAATTGCTCTGACCCAAATCAGCATTACTGCAGCAAACTCAGCCCTTTGCTCTTCATTTTCAGGATTTTTACCTCTCCATAATGACTAAGTGTAAAAACAATGACAACAGAGGATTTTAACACTTCCCTGAAGAAGCAAACAGGGAGCATGTGATGTAAGTTACAGCCTAAACAGGGTATCATTACACTAGCACATCACAGTGACACAGCACATACACCTACACAACATAAAACTAATGCTCCATAAGCAAAGTCACTTTAAAAATCTATCAAACCCATCAGTGGGAGGATAACAACAGAAGAGTCGCAGAACCAAAATGCACAAGAAGGAGCAGCAGTATTGCTATACAGCTGCACCACGACAGGGCAGCCAGGTCACCCAGTCTGACTGGGGATGCTTGCACAGAAGTGCCACATCCCCAGAAGCACTGGCAGCACGTTCTCCAAATCCAGAAGCAACTCAAACCTGGTTGGTGTACAGCAAGACTGTCCTGTGGGAGAAACCGGCAGCTTGTACCAAATGTGTTCAGTGGATCTAGTGTCACTTACAAAAACTAATTACTGAAATTCAGCGCGCCTAGTCTCACATCCAAACCTGCTTTCTAAGCAGCCACGGTGCCTCTGGGTACAAAATGAAATTACCTTCACAGGCAACTGCTATATAGGAAAGAAACCTCTGGACAAATTCATTTTAGAGGGTGGATTAAAAACACTGTAAAAAGAAGAACAGACGGGGATATTTTCTCATCTCAGTGAGACTGGCTTGGCCACTGAGCCCCATGGTCTGCAGCAGAGGATGAGAACTGCTCTGCTCCTCCTGGGAAATACTGCCAGGGCACTGCGGCAGAGCCTGCAGGAAAAACACATTAGACACCGCGACGAGGCTGCCCCATTCCTCTAGTGGAAAAATACCTGCCCTTGCAAATGGGACATTACAAAAGAAAGCCAAAACGTGGTGCAGAACCACTCCAAGCCCCATGCGATTTTAATGGTGATTCTGAATAAAAGTGAACTGTAGAACGGCCTGCTGCCAGGTCCACTGCAGTGCACAATCCATACTGCTATTAGACAAAATCCAAAAGACAAAGGACTTCATGGGAAATACTACACAGCATCAGCTGGATCCAGCTCCAGTATCTCTGGAGCTGGGTATTGTCATCTCACTGTTTCATCACATCACAGGAATATTAACCTCCCTCCTGTTATTTTGAGGTCTTGTCTCAGCACTCTCCAACTCCACAGAGAAGTAAATTCCTGCATCTTTTCCCTGCAGGTCTCCAGATCCTCTCCCTGCAGATGGGGTCTCAGCATCGCACATGGCCTGAACCTGCTTCCTCTTTCAGAGCCTCAGCTGCAGACCAGGGTCCTTCAGGAGACTTCCTGACGCTTACCTCGCATGGGGGACTTCATGGCGGCCTCGACCATGCCAACCAGAAGCTGAAGACTCTTGGGATCTTGAGCCAGGCCCGACGCAAATGCTGCCAGTGCATCCGCATGACGCCCAAGGTACTGAAGGGCTACGCCCTGCCGGAAGTATGCCTGAAAGCAGAGAGAAGAGACAGCAATTACTGAATTGATACAAGTCCCACCTACCAAACCTGCATGAGCAGTGACCTCATGTTGGTGGCCACTGGGCTACAAAAGCACATTCTGGTTTCTTTGGTTACTTTGGCCACAGTCAAAAACAGCAACATTGCGTTTGCCTTGTGACTGCCCACCCGGGCGCTTCTCCCTAGTGCAGCTTCCTCAGTTCTGGCAATTCCTTTAGACTGTGCTAGAGACCAAAGATGGTAATAGCTACTTAAGAAAAGCTTTCCCTTTGGATTCAGAAGATTACCTGTTACAATCTGCTTATAACCAAATACTTATTGTATTGAGAACTCCCTTTCTGCTCTCTTGGTTCACACAGGGTACAAGGAATCTTCTTTCTCACCAGCTCTTGCCAGTGAGTCCAACATAAATGTTGTGCTAGTAGAGATCAAAATACATTCAAGGCTCCAGCTGCAGTGAAACACCAGGCAAAGCTCCAGACAGGAGCCGGTGCCATCTCACTTGCTGGGTGGGCAAACACCCCATCTCACACCCGCGTCACCCCCACACGTCAGGGCTCACGCGCACGGTAACACGCGAGCATCGTCCTGCCTCAGCTATGGAATCCTTTTGAGCCAGGATGTCCAACTCGGAATGCTGAAAATCGCTTCGCTACGGAAAAGAAACAGTGCCTGGCACACACAATACCATCGAAAGATGGTATTTTTATATTTCATGTTCAAAACGGGACTTCTTACTGGTACTATTATGAATGGAAAATTAAAGAAACAAATAACGCATCAGCCGGAGAGCCAAGCAAGGACTCGCAGCACGGTGCAGCTGCAATGCAGACGTCGTTATCCAAGAGCTCGGAGGCAGCGCGGGGGACCAGGCCACCCAGCACTCCCAGGCAAGGAACGTGTGACACAAGGCAGGAAGATCTTGCAGGAACGTTCCGATGGAGCTGGAGGAAACCAGGAAGAGCACGGGGTGAGCTGCAGGGTAGGTAACACGGGACAGGGCCGGATGTGCAGGGAGCAGAGCGGGGAACGAGGCAAGTCAGAACAGAGAGCAGGGAGAAACGAGACTGCGGGAACACAGAGAAGCACCTGGAAAGCAGGAATAGCAGACACAGGCACCGGTCTGGCCACACTAAATGCGATGGGCTGGGAGCAACAGCAGTTACAATAGCCAGGTAAAAGAACAAAAATGTGATCCAAGGTGTGAGCTAGACTAATGAAAAACTACTAATGAAAAACCCAATCCAACCCCACTGGAAGCACCAGTGTACATATGGACTCGTGAGGACTGAGCCCCAACTCATGATTTTGAGCACATTTACCAGAGTGTTCTTTGCTCCTTCCTTTCCAAGGGAACCATTCATGGGAGCAACATCCTCAAAGTAACTCTATTCTCTTGTCACGACATATTTCCATTCCTACATCAGCAACAACATAACATGCAGACGCGCAGAGCTCCCAAAGAGCCTCTGCATTTCCCTTAGCTGGGACACCAAGACCCTGCCCACAGCAAGAAGTGCAGAAACGTTTTCTGATCACAGCTGACACATTGGCAAAGCCTCTCAACCAAAGGGTATCTAAAACTCACTTGAGAGCTACTGGATAACAGACCATCCATTTGCAGAGACTGTGTGCAGACACTGTCTCTGTTATAAAAAGCACTTAAATCCTTAAGAAGCATCTTTGATATTCATTATTCATGTTTTATCTTTGTGTCCAGCTAATACCCTTCTGATGCAAACTTTGCTGCACTTTTGGTTCAGTCAAAGCTGCTTCAATAATGCAAATAAAGCTGTCACAACAAAAGAAAAAAATCTCTTTGTAATTCTTTAAAAGTACTTCAGGAGCATAATACTGCTTCTTTAGATCTGCTCCTAGTAATGCATTTGCAGATAAGACCTCATCACTATTTCTCTCCATCCATAATAAAAAATTAAACCTGTGTTCATATATATGTATTAAATATACAAATGCAGAAGTCTTTCTTCCTTATAGAGGATAAATCTGCAATTAATATCTGAATTAGTTTTTCAATAGTTTTCAGACACTTTCAGAATCCATCCCAGAGACACACAGATTAAGGACAATCAAAAATTACATGAGAAATTTAGAGACATGAATATTTAATCTCCTTTCTATTAGGAAGTGTTGATTGTAGAACTATTTTTAATGAATTCAATGGAAGGAAAACTCTTTTCATTAACCTTTAGCTTAAATGTGTTCTTACTGAACCAAACACGTTACTGTACTGGAAACCCAGCTCAATGTTAATTAGATTACTAGCACAATGCTTTAGATCAAAGAAAATATAAAGAACTGCCAATGTGCAACGCCCCTGGCACATCACCTACATAGCGGTACCCACTTTTAAGTTCTTTTTTCCAGAATTCTCGTTTATTTGCCTTTTCTACTGCTCGACATCAGAGGCCGCTGACGCAGCCGCCAGGATGACGCTGTGCTCAGAGGACAGGTCTCCGATGGCGCCTTTAGGCTGTCTCAGAAGCCCAGGACAAACGCGCCTGCCTGGCTCCCTTCTCAAGGATGAGGCACCAATGGGCAGCAGCCGACGAGGGAATTTCACGTTACGCGGAGTCACGGCCAACGGCCGGCACCTTTTACGGAGGGAGAACCTGTCTCCTCTCAAGCTGTGCGCTACTGGGTCATACTGGGCATCAGGGAACATTTTGCTTCCTGACCACTGCAGAAAATCAGCACAGCTCAGAAACCTAAAACCAGGCACATACAGGGCGCCTGTATGAAAGGGCAGAAGGGAGGGAGACGCTACAGAAATGCAGACGAACTTCCTGCAGCGCACAGAAAACAGGGATTAATGTCATAGAGTCTCCACGGTTGAGGAAGGATCATGTGGTGCAATTGCGCCTTACCTCCCATCTACACACGAAGGCTGCTGAAGAAGAAATAACACGCTTTTCAATGACAGGTATGGCCAAACCACGCTTTCCTACATCCCAGGAAGAAAAGTGAGCTCATGAGGTCCTAGAGGTCCTTTCCAACCTGAACGATTCTATGCTGCTCTGTCCAGTGTGCACAGAGCTTCCTCCCCTCCCCACAGCCATTCCTGGATCTTTCCCCCCTTGGAAACCATTAATTTGAACAGGGTTTTCTTTTGGGCTCTGAATGCTATTAGTCTCAGCTGAAGGAAGGTTTGGGCCAGTTTTCTCCTGCAGCCCCCACCGTTGTTCCTCACCCTGACGCAAGCTCTCACAGAAAGCTCTCCGCACACAGCGGTCTCCAGAGCCCTTTAACACGCTGCATGAAGAGCTTTCTAGCCTACTGCCTCTTCAAGAGGCTTCGCGAGCAATTTTAGCACTGGAACGAAGACACCGTAATGAGGGGGAAAGCTGCAAATCACAAAAGGGGAGAACTGCCCTTTGGAAAAGGATGGGAAAGAAAAAGCAGGGAGCCGGGAGCAGCTGTTGAGGCAGTGAGACAAGGAGCCACTTTCCAGTCTGCCATGGACACAATCCACCAGGTTTCTGTGAACTTTACATTTTTAATCACGTTAGACAAAGATTAGAAAAGTACTCATTCTGCAGCAAAAATGACATCAATTTACCAGTGATCCCAGGTAACCAAAAAAAATACTGATTCCTTGTAGGGAGATTAATAGCAAAAAAGGTGTGTTGCTGAAGACAGGAGAAAGCAGCAGCAGGTGTTTTCGAATCTGTGGTTCTTTTTATCCTCAAAGACTGGAACACTCTTGTTCATTTTTCAAATCTCTGTATCTTACTTTCTGAAGTGTGGCGCATCTCCATGCTATCCTGGAGACCCTGGCATTGCCAAGTGCCCATGTTGGATCTGAATACACGGTTAGCAAAACATACACTAACATGTACAAAAATCAACCAGGTATCAACCGCAACATACACGTGACACTTCCTTGTCAGCGGATCTACGTTAGGCCAGAGTGCTTTGCTTTCACATTTATACAGTCAGTAAAGAGAATCAGGAAGACATTCTTTACATTACAAAGTTGAAATATTCTTTTCTTCCCACTGGTGAAGTAGGTTCCAAGTAAGCAGATCACTGAATTAATCTGGGAAAGCTTCAGCATTTGTAAATGCTCCCCTGAGCTGGTCTATGTTCCAGCACGAAAACTATCCACTCTCTGCATCACAGAAAGATAAACCTAAACAATTCTCAGCACACACATCTTTCTGGCATACCCATAAGGATAATCTGGGCTGAAATTCTGCATCAGACAAATCTTTTTGAATAGGAATTATTTACTCCTCTCCTTATGCTAGCACGATCAAATATATGCTCCCCTATTCTTACAGCCCTGAACAGAACCGCACAACCCTCCAGGCACAGGGTGCTGCAGTCAAAGCATGGTGTATCCACTGATGTTCCCACCTCCAGCCTCAGGAAGGGGAAGTGAGGGCAGGGATGAAGCATCATGAGCAGAAGCCTCTTGGAAGGCAAGAGGACCGGAGGGAAATAACAGCTTTACTGAACTGCTGACTTATCAGGTCGCTGATCCCTGTGCAGGAGAGGCCGTTGGGGGTAATGCTCACACCCATCCTCGCTGCTCGATGTGCAGAATGTATTTGTCACTTGTGACTTCAAGGCCACGCAGAAAGGTGTGCCATAACAGAGGCTCTTCTAATGGCAAATCCAAGCTGAGATTGCCTTATTCCCAACACAGGACCCATTCCTGAGGTCACAGTCCCCCCCACCACAATTTTTCACACATCCTTTTTTACCGTATGCTTTTTGGTGCACTTTGACATCTTCACCTCTCATCCCAGTGTGAGCACCGTTCCCAGCAGCTTCTCATTCTTTTCAGTTTCCTTCAGATATTTTGTATGAAAATATTTCTTGCACAAGAATCAACATTCCAGATAAAGGCAAAGCTTTATCCTCTAACACAGGTCTCAGCCACTGCCTTTATTTTGCCAATATGTTAATAAACTTGTAATTTTCAAATAACAGTATTGGTCTTTTCAAAGCCCCAAATATACCCAA